TTTTTTTTTTTTCTTGTTTGTTTGTTTTTGTTTGTTTTTGACGGAGGTCTGCGAAGCAGTCTACATTTGTTCGCTCGCTCGAAAGGGAGCGACTTCTAGGGAGGGAGGTATAAGAAGGGGGTGTAATGGGGTAATAGGCACTCCCATGTGAAAGTGGTAGGGTTTTCGTCTTCTTGTTTACAAGTATCAACTGCGGATTTCGGTTTCGTTTCATTTCTGGACAGAATAATATCAACCCCATCACGCGTGCATAGAGCATTTTTTCCTAGATTATGCTTGCTGGCAGGCTGGACGTACCTGAGGAATCCGTGGCGAGTGTCGAAGGAGAGACTGCCGACCCGACCCGCCTGAGTTATAAATCTTTGGCGGAGCCCCTCCCTTTTTTGAGCATCAACAGGACTCCTTTGTTCTCTTTCTCATCTTCCCCGACTCACCCCTTCGACTAAGCAACTGTAAACAATTACTCGCCATGTTATTTGGACTGAAATGTCTCAGCTAACACCATTTTGTTTTGGTTTTAAGAGTATATTCTCGGAGACGGAAAAAATGTCATTGGAACACCCTGGGAGATGACAATTTCCGGTGATATGTTGATCAGAAAAAAGCAAGGCGACGCTTACGGATTCAACTCGTTAATTATACTTTTACCAGAAATGAAGCTTGGTAAGTACTTAAAAATTCCTCGCAAGTGTCTCAATAAAAATCGCTGCCTGCCCTGCCGTATGTTTATTCCACATGTTTCTCAAACACTCTTATAGTTAATAACATTAACATCACAGACTATTGAGAAAACTGAGTGGCAGTAAATGTCTCTTCGTTATCTTGGTACTGGAAGGAGTAGCTAGGAGTGTTTAACCAATTGCTAACGGCGAAAGACGTGCCCCTAAATTCACCCAGCCACCTGCTTATCGATCTATCTTATATTATCTCACTTACTTACCTACTTACCTATTATTACCTACCTCCTACCTACATACCAACCTAGCTATATACCTACGTCCCTCTAACCTATACATACCCACCAAATTGCCTTCCTTCCTTCCTGCCTACCTACCTCCCTACCTATGTACCTACCTAAGCACCTATTTTACCTACCTTCCTTCCTTCCTATTTACCTACCTATATACGCCGACCCGTCTACCTATCTAGGAACAGATGGATTGCAAACAGACATTTATTTATCTTTACTCGTGAAGTTTAAGCTTTAGAACATTCACATTCCCTTTGTCATTCTTATCAGTTGGTTACTGCCGTACATTTATTAACGCCAATCCACAGAAATCACTGTTCTCTTTTTTTTAAAACTATTCAGCCTTAAACATTTTTTGTACAAACTGCGGAGCTCTGCGGAGCAAAGTTGACAAGAAATTCAGCAACACATTCCTGCCGGCTTTTAAAGAAGTCTTAAGAACAGAAGGAGAACAGGTGAACTGTGTTAATAATAAAGGCATAATTTAGGTTCTACATTCATCATCTTAAAGATATCATTGACAGATCGGTGGACCCTGCTCCGAACAGGACAGAGGCCATGACAGTGTCATGAGGCTCTACCGCTAGCTAATGATATAGCCGGGGTTAGGGCTGTCCCTAAGAATCTTCAAATTTCTTAAAAAGTTGCTCAAAAGTTGCTCCAAAATCTTCACGTTGCTTTTCAAATTTTCTACAAGTTGTTTATTACCCTACCAAAGAACCTTTTTTCACTGTTCCTTGACTCCTGAGCATTTAATGGCGGCTAAAACGAGTCGTAACCTATTTTTATTTCTTCTGTTCGTTATTTAACCCAGCAATCAATATTACGAATTTTTAATTTTTATGCTGGGCTGCTATATCAAGTTGCGGTCACTTAGCATAAGGGGTCGTACTCCGCCATTTTGAATTCATCAACCCACCGCTGACCACTTGAAACGCCTTTCCAATCAGCATCATCATCATCATCATCATTCCTCATCGTGCCCCGCAGGACACCGCCTTTTCAAACCACGGGCAAACCAATGCGAACGCACGATGAGTAAAACTTAGAAACGTCTAGAAAACTATACCGTATGTGACGGTCGTGACCAAGAAAGTAAAAAGAAAAGCTGCTTGATGAGTGCTTCATATGCCAGTTTGGTCTGTTATAATTTTGCAGTAGTGTCTTAGACTGCATAAGAAGTTGCCCCAAATTGGAAAAAGTGCCCAAAAGTTGCCGAACATCTTAGAGACAGCCCTAGCCTCAGACATTGCGTTGTGGTCTTATATTAGGCGAGACACTTTACTCTCACAGTGCCTCTCTCCAAGCAACCCAGGTGTGTAACTGGGTGCTGATTAACATGTTGAAAATCTGTCATTTAGGTATTTAAAAGGGATATTAACTAAAATATTTCGAACAGATGCACCTTATGGCTGTATCGTAGAATTCATCAACTTCATTTCAAGGGTTTAGAAAAGGAGATGCAATGTTAAGTAAGTATGTGAAAGGGCTACCTTTTTTCAATGAAAGGTATACATACGAAAGCAGTACCTTCTCTGCCAAAATGGCATACAAAAGGACAAGAAGGTGGACTTCGGGGCGGAGTCTCCCCCGTATAAAACAATGTAGAGTACCCCTCGGGTCAGAGCCTGAAGTTCGTTTTGTGAAAACCCTTTCGCTGGCTCTAAACTCTTTCTTAACACATGATGCTTTCTTTCTTTTGATTCATTAAGGAAATAAGAGTTCCGCCTGATACCAAGCAGTACATTGGAGTTTACAAAGTGGAAGGTCTTGAGCCTAGTTTGAGTTTTTTGCAGGTCAAAATGAATGACGCTGGCAAGTTAGTTATGTCCATTAATGGCGGATTCGAGGCGTTTATCTTAAACTACACGGAGCCGTTAAAATTCAGAGTTGTCGTAACGCCGGAGTTACCCTGCTTTAGCATCTTCATGCTTGGATCAGACAATGAGCCCGTAGTATTCGACAGTCCCTCTAAAGAAGACGGTCTCTGTGATAAATTTACGATGTGGACAGCGTCGGCCAGTGGTAGAGCATACTTTTACAGGGATCGGAATTTAGACACAGCTGATAACACATCGTAGTGGAGGCTTGATTATCGACAACGGCTGGAATCCAGAGAACCTAATTACTACGACTATCAGTTGATTAACAAGGTGCGATGGAGCTTTGGTGACTAAGTTCTGGACTTGAAATTACGGTGTTGCCACGAGCAACTTTCCTCGTCTCCAGTGGTAACAATATCGTCGTCTGCAAATGCAATTTCGCGCGCTTTGCTGCCAATGACGTCAAAGGCCGACAAGTTGCCACTGGAAAAGGAGCCAGTTATCCGTAACAACAACAACACAGTCAAACGTTAAAACCTGGTCACCAAACTTTCGTCACGCCTTACTCAACATATAATCGTAGTAATCTTGGCGTTGTCCTCACAGAAGAACAAAAACAGTTGTCTCATCTTATGTAAAGAGGACGGGCAGCCTTATAATGTGGATCACATCCAGACATCAATCCACTCCCGAGAAAGAAAAGTTAGGCCAAGTAATACGGGCAATATATTTATTCAACTTGTCGCGTAATATTGTTGCATTGCAACCTTTATTGCATGCTTTACCACCTTTGTTGCAATGCCCCGGTGGGGGGACTCCCGAGTGAAAAGGTCGTGGATCCTCGTCTCGCTTGGTGTAAATGAGTTGTAGCGATACACGAGCCACCTGCGAGTCCAAGTCAACCATGAGTCAACCACGAGTCAACCATGAGTCAACCGTGAGTCAACCATGTGTCAACCATGAGTCAACCATGAGTCAACCATGAGTCAACCATGAGTCAACCATGAGTCAACCATGAATCAACCACGAGTCAAGCCAATTTTTGTTTTTGTTTTTTTCATTTTGTCCCGAAAAAAATATGGATTGTAAGAAATAAAAGTCAGTTATGAATAAAGGTTGTCTTACCAGTTAACAACAGGTCATAAAATAACAGGCTGACCTCGATCGCTTCGCGCGCTATCTTCACGGTAGCATAACGCAGCGTATTACCCAGTCCCTCAGACTTTGGCAAACATGCATTGTGGCAATTCACGTTATTTGTAGTGTCAAAGTACCCGAGGGCATTTGGCGGGGTCGAAATTGCACCAAAAACAAGTATAGCTTGTGTGGCACATACAGACGAAGCTATCTAAGCGGTTACTTTGTAAGAAATAAATAAAAATGTTAGCCAATAAATTAATCCATCTGGAACATAGCTGCGTTATTTTGGAAAGAGGGGATAAAACAGATAATAGGACGTAAATAGATTCAATGTTTCAGCGCGACTTACCATCCCATAACGACACCATGTCTTTGTGGGACTAAGCATGAAAATCCAACGATCCCAGGTTCCTCTGGGTAATATGTTGCGTAAGACTACAAGATGGCGCGAGCCGCGATCGAGTTGAGCCTTTTATTAAGTGTCCTGTTGTTAACGGCTAACACAATCTTTCTGTTGATATATTTTATTTCCTGGAATCTTTCCTTTTTTCCGAGACAAAAAAAAAAAAAAAAGCTGGCTTGACTCGTGGTTGACTCGATGTTGACTCGCGACTCGAGGTTGAGTTGGGCTCGCGGTTGGTTCGTGTAACGCTACAACTCGGTGTAAGCCATGGATTTTGTTGTTACTCGAGGGTGTTCAGGACGAAATGCCGATATTTTTAGCTGTCGAGGTATCTTTCAGGATTGCACTCGAAGAAATAATAATGATAATAAAAACTCTGTCTGTGCATTTTAAAGAAGAATTATTTAGGAGTCAAATAAAGCTCGTGTCACACCCAGATTGGTTTTCCTGGGGTTTAATCCAAATTTCCCGACGGGCATCCCCGACCTTTTCGCACAGGACTCCTGCCGGTGTAACGCAACAATGTGGCACGGTATGCTGAAAGGATATTTTGCCCGTACTATATTACTTCGCGTTAGTAAACAGTACACTTGCACAAAACTTAACATAGTAATGCTCTTTGATGCTCCTCTGTGTTTTGCACTCACGTAGTAATCTCTGTAATTAAATTTGCTTAAAAAGCTCAGTTAAGATATTCAAGAAAGCCAACTGTTCAATAACATAGGGCTCTTGACTATGACCTCTATTTCAAAAGTATAGCGCTAGAAAATATATTATCTCTGTTTTAACCAATCACATTAAAAGCAATGGACCTTTTTTACCGATGTCACGCAAGAGATTATGATCTCTTGTGTCACGCCTTTCTGATTTTTTCAGTCAAACAAAACATAAGCCTTATGCCGTTAGGTTTGTCACGCTGAATTAAGTAGATATGCGAAGTTTCATAAGAATCCGTTGCAAAATCATGGAAATATAGGACCCCAAAGTTGCCAATTTTTACAAAGAAAATAAATATACAGAGCAGACTTCCTCTTATGAAACTTCGTGTATATACTAAATTCGGCATGGTAAATTAATCTACACGGGTAGTTTTATGTTCATATAAAAAATGCGAAGAATTTTTGATATTGCGTGGCATTGATAAAAAGACCCATTACTTGAATAGATGCACTGCGCTTAGACGTTCTCTGCCGTCTAAAAGGGCAGTTTTTTCGGCCAGTGGCAACAGACAAGCATGGAGTTGTATAGATCAATTAAAATGTAATAGTTTAGTTTAAGTGATCTTAAATCAGATGCTTTTAGGCCTGCTTACCGAGGCTTATAAGGACGATGCCCATCCACTAGGAAGGATTTCTCTTAATTTTCGTTATTTTTAAGGTGTAATAAAGACGTATTGCTCTCTAAATGGTTAGCCGAGTCATACTTTGGAAAATTGAGCCACGTGCGCGCGGGAGCTAATGACGGGTGTTCGAGGAATAAAATATATCTTCCCCATTCTTCCCCGTCACAACAGGAAAGCAGAAGAAATAAACTGCTCTGCAAACAGGTTTAGGGAATAAATAACGTAATAAAACAGATTAGTTTAAGTCAGGGTATTAAAACCTCCACTTTCCGTGCCCTGCCTTCAAATAACATTTTGGGTTCATGTCTTTTCACTGTTCCTTTTGCATTTCTCTCTCACTTACCGCCCTCTCATAACTCCCGCGACGTCTCCTGCTTCCCGCCTTTTTCCCTTCCGCCGCCCGTACCCCTCCCCTATTCTCCCGGTCTCCCGCCCCCTCTGTTCGTCCCCGTTAGCCTCTCCCCCTCCCCCACAGACTAATAAAAAGAAAAGAAACATGGCAGAAAATCAACCTGTCACTTGGGTTAACTTGTGATAAGTATTTTGAAGCGGATAAATAATCAGTTACCATGAACTTAATTCAGGGAACTTGCATGAACGATTTACTGGATTTCAACTTCAGTTTCCAAATCGCGGCTTTTCCGCTGCTGAGGACAACATCTAACTGCAAAAACTAATTATCGCAGTAAAAAAGGACTCATCAATGACTTCAATGGCCATTTCAACGACAGAACACGGGTCATTAACTATTGTTGAACTTGATATAAATAGATTGAACTTAAAAAAACAGTACTTGTCGGTTTTACAAAGATTCTTTGACGGCTCAGCAAACTTCGGGCACAATATTTTGTTTATTTCTCGCCTTCTCTTAGTAACCATCAATTCTGACGGCATTTGCCTTTCATCTATTTATATGATTTGTCGTATTTAATGGCCCATAAATATTGCTAGCTGACAAATTAAAATTAGCTTTCGAAATAAATCGATGTATTCTCATGAATCTAATATCGACAGTCTTTTCATGATCACTAAAACAAAAGCTCGCCGCGCAAAAAAGTTACCGATTAATCAGCACTGATATTTTTTTAAGGCCTGAGTAAACTTCTCAATTCGGCTTCATCGCAAATGTCAGACTTTCAAAGGATATAACACCATTGTGTTTGTCCAAGTGCTTACTAGCAAAATGGTTTGGCTTAGCAGACGCAAATTAGATAATGCCGGTTATTCATTTGTGAAAAGAAACACACTGAGATCTGTGCGTAGACTTTTGTAGTTTCATCCCTTACTCTGATCACGTAGAGAGCTGCGCGACTTGGCATAAAAGGAGTTTGACTCTCTGTCGAGAAAAACAAAGATATCATTACCGGTACAATGGATTGAACTTTGAGGGGCTTTATATGTCCATTTCATTCACTCGATGAAGATTCAACGCAATACGTGCAAAGCGTAACTCGTATGATTTGCAACCAAGACTGAAAGAAACCTTTTTGCGATTATTCCCGTTCGAGGCCAAATGGAAAAAGTAAGATCAAAGAGCCTGCAAGAGGTTTCCGAGCAAGCAGAGAATAAATCTGCAACAATTAATCCACGGCGATTTCAAATACGAGACGTGACTGCAAAACGTGGCAAAAGACATTTAATTCAATATGCAGCCCCAGAAACAACCATCACTAATAACAGCTCGCAATCGAGATTTTTAGGCGCGGCCGATCGCAGCTACCAGGGGAAAAAACAGTCTCTGCTGAAACGCTTATCAGAGTGCAGTCTTTCGCCATGTTCAGAGGAGTACAAATGTGTGATACAGGGTTTCAAAGAGACAGGAAGGGAATCAAATTCAACTGTACATGTCGCGACCTCTAAGCGGACGAGAAGTCGTAGAATTTCGTTTAACAATCTCAGCCAAGGATCAAAGTATTCCTCTGTGCGACTGCCATCCGAGTTAGAAAGTGCTTTTACATTTCGTCCGCGACCCAGGGGCAACACTATGCCAGCTCGAATCAGCGACATCAGAATCGCTGAAGAGACGAAGCCGAGTGTAAAGACCAAGGCAGCTGTCCAGAGACACGTGTCAGTCCATGTTAAGGTAGCTTGGCAAAGCTTGAACGAAGATCTTAATTTGCCAGTTAAAAAGGAGAGAAGGAGGCATGTATCTTTATCAGACCAACCACAAAAACAACTTTCTGAAGATAGACACGAAATAAAATCGGAGAGAAAATCATCGGAGACTTTCCGAAGCGATCGCGAGGCTCTATCTGGTAGAGTAGATAGATCTGGTCAGAAAACACCACAACGGAAAAAGGCGGAGGTAGAGCTTCCTAAGATTGCGGAAAGAATTTTTATTGATCATGATCATTTACAGATAAAGCTTAAAGAGGCTAAGATTTCTTATGAAAATCGACGGAAAAGTTTCACAGCTGAGCAAATGCATGACGAGAAAAGATTAATGGAGGGTGAGAAATTTTTAGAAACTCATCCACAGAGAGAACGGAGACATTCCGGTGGAAATTTAACTGCGGGCAAGGACGCCCCAAGAGTTAAGGGAAAACTTACTTACACAAGCTCATGGGAATCTCGTCCCCCAACGGAAAATAACTTAACTCGCCGCAGTATTGGCGCAGAGTCGAGAACCTTAGAGTCACATTTAATACAAGCTCCCTCAAGACGTCGAACCAGCCAGTTCGCTAAAACACGCGCGAATATCAGCCGCGTTGGAAAGGCAGCCCTGGTCGCCACGAGACTTTTGAAAATTCATTATCGAGAAAATGGAGCTAAGAAAGTGATCACGAAAGAAGAAAAGGAACTCGACAAGTTATTCGAGGAAATGAAAGATTGCCGCTACTTGAGGAAGAGTATTTCTGAGATGAAAATATAAAGATCGACTGCGTGGACCAATTATCATTTCTTATTGTTACGATGATCTTATGCGCTAGTTACGCTGAACCAGTTAACAACTATTGCCGGAAATCCGTAGAAGTTTTTGTGTCATTGTGAGTATAAGAAAAACACTCAGGAAATGAAAAGCTTGAATGTAAATTAATTTTATTGCATATCTAATCAAACCGTTCATTCATAGAATCCAAAAATTATACATTCAACAAGGACGAATAAAAAATGTCTAAAGGAACAATAAAATAGAGAGTTGTAAGTGTCCCATCATGATTATAGCATAGTTTTGAGATTTTCATAAAGGTACTTTATGGAAAGCGGTGTGTCCAATATATCGATCTCAAAATTGCATTTTGCTTTTTTTTAGCGGAATAAAGCGCATACAACGTTCGTGCACTTCACTTATTCAATTTTTGGCACGGTACCATTGACCGCCCTCAAAGCATACAAAAGTAAATTTACACTTCAGTTCAATGAACAGACAAAAAGATATTAAAAAATCTTCTTATATACCGTGAAAGCGTGAAAGGTTTTAAAAGCTGGCTGTCGCAAGATGTCAAAACTTCAAATGAGTTATGCTTTACATAACTTCATGGACGGCAAACTTCGTGCATAGCTATAAATTTATATAGGTTTACTTTAATTCAAATCGACCTTTGAGGGGTATCGCAAGGACGCCACGAGCGATTACGCAGTGCGTTC